TTTCATTTTCCAGCATTGGCGTTAACTTGGCTAACGATCGTTTAATGTGGATCCCACCATTGTATTTTTTATTATAAACTATTGTTTGTGGCCCCCAAATTAATTATTTTTATGTTTCCCTTTCTCTCCCTTCCCCTTGTCTCTGCAAATCCCATATGCTCTTCTTCATCTTCTCATCGGCTCTCTCTATAACTCACGATGGCCTCCCTCTCTTCGACGCCGACATCGATACCAATGCCACCCAACACATCCCTTCTCTTTGCAGGTCCACTAGCACCACTTGCTCTGACCCATTCCTCAAGTACCGTCACCTTCCCACTCTTTGGCTTCATCATCAGCCCCAGCAAATCCTTCGCCATTCCTTCTTCTTCCTTTACCACTTGCTTGAAGGACAAAGACACGAGTTGCATGCATTATATATGTAATATCTATGTGTGTGTGAGATGACGTCGGAGAAGCTAAGTGACCAAGATAGAGGAGAGAGAGAGAGAACGTGGGCAAAGAAAGAGAGAACATGAAAAACACGAAAAAGTTAAGAAGCTTCGGCTCTCTGGTGAGTGTAGTGAACTCCAGGTCCACTCTCTAAAAATACCCTCATAATCCAGCTTCAAGGATAGCAACCTAAACGACACCCTCCGTTTGTGCTTCCCTCTCTCTCCTCCCTGCTTTCTCTCTCTATCTCCCTCTGAACATGATGATGTTGTTGCTTCCACTTCAGTTGCTTCCTCATATCATAAGCATCCTCCTCATCAGCATAATACTTAGCATCCACGTTCAATAAACTCGAGTCAAGCATCTTTGATTCTTCCTAAATCAACCCAGGCTCCTAAGCACACATAATCTGTTTGTACCAGCTTTCTTCTTCCATCCCACGTGAAGGGCCTTGTATGCTTGACATTCAAACCCTGCATGCATGCGCTATTGTTCTCCCCTTCAAGGTGCTCTGTTCTCCCCTGTTTCTTTTCTTAGAAACAGAGACAAGCCGTTGGAGATCCTTGTTGGAGGAGAGAGAAGAGACAGAGGCAGAGACAGGACTGAGAAGGACATGGGATGAAGTTTGCTTGGGATTATGGTTGTCATGCCGATAGGTTATTGTTGAAACAAATTCAATGGAAGCTTTAAAACTAATAAAAGCTGCATAAATTAAAACCTGCGTGACTGCGAGCTTTGTCGTTGCAATGGTAATGAATATGTTGAAGATGAACATGAGGGTGGAGGAAGGTAGAAAGCCACCATACTTCGATGTGATAGGCCCTTCACTATAGTGCTATTTGTGAAACTCAAAGAAATTTGAAGCTATTGAAGGATTTTTGGTAACGAGGGGACAGGGGGAGAAAGAGAAACAAAGTGGAGAAGAGAGAGAGAAGTATTTTTTACATTATAAAAAATTTGGCGAGACTCACTGCATAATATTTTATAATAAAAAATATTAAAAAATTTAAGTGCCATACTCATTAAAAAAGGTAGCACAATAGAGTACAAAAATTTTAAAATTAAAAAATATAAATAATTTTAAATTTAGAGTTATTTGTGTAAACTTGAAATATTTTTAACTTTTAACTTAAAAATTTAATGACAAGGGCAAAAATAATATATTTTAATTACTTTAAGAATAAAATTACTCTAACTAATAGTTTAAGATATTAGGTGCTATTTTACAAATATTTTAAAGACAAAAACACACATTAATCCTTAAAAAACATCATTATTCATTCTCAAATGAGCTCTATGACTTGCAAAATGTGACCACAATCAACCTTTTAAAATGGCAAATAAAATAAACAATTAAACAATCATTGAATATAACATGAGAGATTGGATCCTAATTCACAACACATGACAAACTAAAATGTAAATAATCATTGAAAGATACACTTATATTTAGTGTCTTTTAAAAAAAACTTATATTTAATGTTTGATAGTATTTCAAATATAATTATTTTTAATAAAAGAATACTTATGCATAAGTTAAAAAATAAAACAATTATACTCCTCATTAAAGGGTATATATAACATGAGATGAGAATCTAATTAACCTCTCACTATTTTTCATGAGAACAATATTCAACTTTCCTAAAACTCAATTCATGAACTGATGACTAGTTATAGCTTTTTACGCTAAAGTAATATTTAGATTGATAGATTTAAATTTAAATTTTATATTTAAAATTTTATATTTAAAATTCATGTATTTAAGATCTTTTGTTTGAATAGTGTAAAAAAGTTTAAAAGTAAAAAAAATGAGCTATGATTCAAAGCAAAAATTAAAATATTAAGAGTGATGAATTTACCTCTATTTTTTAACTGATGAAAGACAAAAATAAAAAATAAGAGAAATAGTAAAACTAATAGAAGCATTGATGGTAAAATGTGAAGAAAACGGGATAGTTGGTGTACGTGAAATTTTAAACAATTAGGACTCCAAAAAAGTTATAATAAATATACATCAAATTTAAATCTTCATACATCCAAACCTAACATAATCTAATTAAATACACCTAAACCAACAGTACTAATTTAATCCTAATACTTCCAACAATGAGCAAAGAACCAGATTATTCAGAGGTCAAAAAAAATGCTAACTCATTTAAATTCTTTGAAGAGCTAAATAAATTAAATCATTATTCTTACCACCTGCTTTGAACACTTTAGACAAGTTACTTTTCTCATTATGTGTTATTAGTTGTTTCACATCTGAAGATTCTTTGGTTTTTTTAGACTCTTATTTGCACTGTATGCTTCTTCTGTTTTTTTTTTTTTTTTTTTTGTAGTGTCATATGCTTCTTTTGTTTGCTTCTTTTTTTTTTTTTCGGAAAATTAGATAAATCAGATGTAAAGTATTGTCGTAGCTAAATTAAAGTATATCTACTAACTTTTTTTGAAATTCGTACACAGAATAGATTGTGTTCACATATTTATATTGAACATCTCTATGTTAATAAAATTAAGAAATTTATGTTTTTATATCCTATGTTCATCAGGGCATAAAATTATGAAATGAGTGAGATTCATACTAGAAGAATGAAGCTAAAACAACAGTTCTTCGTTAAAATATTTTGGATTAAAATATACAATTTGATAATTCTATGTAACTAAAACAAACAGCGTTTCACCATCTAGAGTTTGTTATGATTTGGTAAAGTACAATTGTCTCCTCAGGTGAATTGTCAGCTCCAGCGTTAATAACCAAGAAAGCAATTGCTTGTTTATTAGGGAATCTTAGTATTAATAAAGCTGTGGCCAGAAATTTAATTTTTTATTCGAACTTAAGAACAAAATTGATCTTTCCTAATACCTTTTAATATTCATTAATGCCGGTATTTAATGAATTTGAATTTTATATTTAAAATTCACATATTTAACTAATCTGAATTTTATATTTAAGGTTCGTGTATTTAAAATTCTTAATTTAAATAGTGTAAAAAAGTTTAAAAAGAGAAAAGAGACTACTTGAGATTTAAGACAAAAATTAAGAATAATGAACGTATATCTATTCTTTAATCCATGAAGGATGGGACTCAGAAAAGATTGAAGTGACTACAATTTTAAATAATTAGAAAATAAAAAATAATTTAAAATTTAAAATTATAAAAGGATAAAAGGATAAAAATACTTAAAAAGTGACAAGTTAGGGGCATCCAATATCTTAAAGGGATAAAAAGTGATCAAACAGTTAACTTTGATCTAACGCTATTAACTTTGACTGTTAGATGTTGACTGTACATGCCATATGTCAATCTTTGCTAATGTGAAGTAATAAAGGAGAAAAAAATATCCACAAAGTTGTCACACAGAAGCAAAAATACTCATAATGTTATCAAAATTAGTGCAAAAGTGACTAATCCATCAAGTTCTTTAAATATTGATCATTTTGTTGACACCTAAGAAAAAGTTAACTATTTTTTACTGATATAGATAAAAAATATTTCTAGATAAATTTTTATGAATGTTGATCAATTATCGTATGTGTTTAGGCTAAAATATGAAACGTCGTTCAAATAGATCACAAAACTATGTGGGCTGAATAACTAAAGAGTCAAGCCCAATCTGAACAAAGGGGCCGACCCTGAAACTCAATAAAGGGCAAAGGTCACGAAAAAATAACCATGTCGAAATTCCGTCAATTACAAACATTAGATCGTTGGCACATAAAGACATGATCCTGAGTAATTCTGAAATCTACAGACATTGTGCCTAAGTATCTTAGTGAGACGGTCAGATTATCAAAAATAGAGAATACGAAATAAAGACTATACTATGAGTTTCGCTAGATTCCTGATTTTTTAACAAAACATTCGACTCAGCATTTCTAACATGCTTGATATTTGTTGTTTACCACAAACCATATAAATACCTATAATGTTACTTTACAAGGTACAATGGTAATCAATCCATCAAAATCCATGTCACATGATTTTTTTTATTACCATGTATCTCATCCCCTTCCTCTATCCCTCTGCACTCATTTTTCTTATTTCTAAAACCTGAGATTCAACATAGTGAGATATGTTGTATAAAATCAAAGGATCGAGATTGAACACACCTTTGCACCCGCTCAGAGTTAATGGCGTTAGATTAAAATTAATAGTTTGGTCACTTTTACACCCACTTATGGAACATTATAAGTATTTATGTCTTTTTTCTCACTTTAGGATATTAGGTGCTATTAACTAACCACTATATGAGTATTTTTGTCCTTTTATCTATTATAAAAATTATAAATATTTTAAATTTAAATTTATAAATTTTTAGGTGTGCCAAAAGTGAGTTCGACTTAAATTTAAATTTCCATTAATCAAAATGCAAGATAATATTTTTCCTTTGGTCCTCACAAATACACTTTTACATAATTACTTTAAAATTTAAAAAAATTCCAATATTATTTTTACTTTATTTCTATCAATAACCACACACACACACATATTGGTCTGTAAATAGCAACACAGAAAGGAATATACCCAAAATAGCGAGTGGGCTTTAGTAAGACTAAAGACAACGGCACCGTCTCAAACCTACCTCAATATATTTCTTGCACGGTCATCGTTCCCGGGACGGGGTTCTCGTGTATTCTTGGATTATACAATTGGAGACGCCGTCGTTTTGGCGCCGGTGCCTCCTCCCCGCTTGATCCACCATGGCTGAGAAAATGAAGCGGCGCTGCCGCTTTTCCCTCCCCGTGAGCGTCGTTCTTTTGACTATCGCCTACATTTACCTTTCCACAATCTTCGTTTTCATTGACATGTGGTTCGGCCTCTCTTCTTCGCCGGGAATAATGAACGCCATCGTCTTCACGGCGTTAGCTATCATGTGCGTCTTTAATTATGCTACCTCTATATTAACAGATCCAGGTCGAGTCCCCTCCACATACATGCCCGATATTGAAGACGTTGAAACCCCTATTCACGAGATCAAGCGGAAGGTACAGAGTATGTGTTGTTTTAAATATCATTTCTTCGGAATAAGACGCTATATCTTTCTGGGGTGGTTTATTTTTTCCTCGTTCGGAAACGAATTTGCTTCTTTAAGAAGAACCACCCAGGTCTGGTCTTGGCATCCTGTTAATGCCTATAGCATTTTATTTTAGTTTTATTTTTTTTAATTTTTTATTTGTTTGGCTGACTTTCCTGATAGTTTATGTTTCTTCGAGTTCTGCTTCTTGGATGCTGGAAGTCTCCTTGACGAAGAACATTAGTTGGATTTCATGTTTTTTTGTCAATCTTTATGTCATAATGAAGAACATTAGTTGCATTTCATTACTTCTGATTTCCTAATTTCTTATCTTATTTGAACTTTAACAATGGGCCTCATATCACATCTAATAACTGGATGAATAGATCAGAAATGTTTAGCTGCTAAGTGCTTTGGCTAAAGAATTTACCTTTGGCATGCTAGCCAACCACTGTTCGGAAAGAGGTACTTCCACAATCGCTGCATTTAGGATAATGGGTAAATCAAGATTGTTTTTGGTTTAATCCTCTAGTCTAAGAACTAAGATGGGCCAACAATCGTGATCATGTTTCTATACAAGTAAATAAATAAATAAATAAATAAATAATCATGATCATGTATTAATTGATGTCACTTTCCCCTTGTAGAACTATAATGAACAGCCATTTTGTTGGCCTGAATAATTGATCTTCTGAAACAAGGACTTTTATGTTGGAGGTGGAACTATTTCAGTATCATTGGCTTGGCTAGGGCATAATAATTAATCTTCTGAATAAATAATGAGCTTTAAGGTGGGTCTGTGGAAGTGAAATCATTTCACTATTTTTTGTTTGCTAGGGATCTAACACTGTTGTTAACTATTAACTCAGATTTCCACACAGAGCAAGCGTTTTGTTTTGAAAATAAGTGAATAAATCATGGTAACGCCTCAAGATAAGGATTCCTGATGAACGTTGATTTGACAATATCATTAGGAAATGTGCATGCTTTGATGGAACTTGCTGTACCGAACCTTTTAGGTCTTACTTAACTGGTTGTTATGATTGAAGTTCAGCTGTTTTAGCCCTTTGCTTGAAAATGAACACTGAGTATATTAGCATTAAACAATTAGTTGTCAACTAACCAAAAAGAATAGAATGGATAGATTTTGTGTATCTATCAATCTACATGCATTATTATTTTGATTCTCCTGCCTCAGTTTAAACCTTCCAGGGCCATTGGTCTCCAGCCCATGTTATTTAGGGGATACTTCTTAAGTTTGCATTAATGATTTACCCTGTACGTGCATCTTGCTATCTTGCCATCTTGCCATCTTGATCCCGTTTCCTCTCCCATCACTAGTCAAAGGAGGGAAAAAGGTTCTATTAGAGCCATGAAGTTTGTGGCTTTGTTAGTATTAAATACTGATTAAATCCTTTTAAAATGTTTTGAGGCTGGCACGGTTGTCAATAGTGCACTATAATGCCAATCACATAGATGTACAGCACCTGTGGCATTGCGCTTTTTGAATACCTATGAACTGCACGAGACATGTGGATCTCCTTCAGTCAAGTGCTGTAGTGAAAATAATCCAATTAACTAGGGATGACTGAAACTTTTTCCCTGAGCCTTCAATTAAGTGCTATAAGCTGGTGGTTGTATGATCATTTTTAGCAGTACGGAATATGAATTTTACCATTTTTGTAATGTTTCTTTGAATTACAGCAGGGTGGGGATTTGAGGTATTGCCAAAAGTGTTCTCATTATAAGCCTCCTCGTGCTCATCATTGCCGTGTCTGCAAACGATGTGTTCTGCGCATGGTATGCATGATCTATCACAGTCAAATTTATCTTAGATTTTCTAAACAATGACAAAAGTTTTGGCATCTGATTGTTAGGATCACCATTGCATTTGGATAAACAACTGTGTAGGCCATGCGAACTATAAGGTCTTCTTCATATTTGTCATGTATGCTGTTATTACATGCGTTTACTCCTTGGTAAGTTTGATTTGTTGTCAGCTTTTTTGATATCATTGTGATCATGGGTGGGGTTAAGTTCTATTTGCATTAATCTGGGGATTCCATGCTGTTCTCTTTTGTCTTCTGCTATAATAATTTTCCATGCGCTGTTTCTGCCTATATTGACCATCCTTCTTACTTGATGTTTTAGGTCTTGCTTGTGGGTAGTCTAGCTAATGATAGTTTAAAGGAGGAAGAGCAAAACGGTGGCTCTTACAGAACTTTTTATGTAATTTCCTATAAAAATAAGATGGTTAAATTTTGTTTTGGTTGTCTAGCATCTTTGCTGATGAAATCTGATTTCCTACAGGTTGTTTCTGGGATGCTGCTGGTCCCCTTATCTGTAACCTTATCTGTGCTTTTAGGATGGCATATCTATCTTGTCCTGCATAACAAGACTACCATAGAGGTTATTAGAGAATTCTAATTTTAGTTCAAAGCTTTAATTTTACTGACGCAGCAAATAGAGATTTTCTCATGTTTGGCACTTTTGTTGACAGTATCATGATGGAATTAGAGCTTTGTGGCTTGCAGAGAAGGGGGGGAACATTTATAAACATCCATATGACCTTGGTCCATATGAGAATCTGACAACTGTAAGAACTGAATACTATGCTCCTGTTCCTTCTGTTTAGCTATAAATCCCATAGTAATTCTGCCGAGTGTGGTGACTTCTTTCTGTTGGCATAAACCGATTTGATATGAAATTTACATTTATGTGTTCCTCGGAAATTCTAAGCATGCATTAAATGTGATGACTTATATGGTTACCAAGGAAGCTGTTCCTGTTCATTTTGTTTTTGTAGATGTGATAGCATCAACATGCAGATTACGTTAAATTATGGCCCCATTGGATCATCAATTGTGCTTTATTAGCATCACTGTTCCTCTTTCATCGTTGTATAAATATCACGTTGAAGTATCAAGCACCCTGTATGCTTCGAGCTAATGCATGTCAGCCCAGTGTCACTTGTTCAGGACTTAAAAGTGAAATTATTTGGTCCTCGGTTAATTATTTAGGTTTTAATCAGGATATCTGTTAATATGAACGTGTGGATTTTAATGATATTGTACTTAATGGTTTGCCTTTGAGTTGTAACTGATGCAAGGGAACTGATATTAACATGTTGATGAATTATCCATGTTGTCTTGTGGGTATCTATCTGTACAAGGCTCTGCAGTGTCCCTCTTTCTTTGTTAGTTCAGACTAACTTGACAATGTATGTGCATACCTGGGTATGAATTTGAGTTTCTTGGTTAATTTTGTTGCAGGTTCTGGGGCCAAATATCCTCAGCTGGGTATGGCCCACAGCAAACCATATAGGTTCTGGACTTAGATTCCAGACTGCTTATGATATCTCACCAGGTGCATCAATGTCGAAATGAGTCATGGTGTTGCCTGGTTGTGGTCATTTGTAGTGCATAAACATCTAACCCTAGTTGTGAAGATCGGTCAAGTGATGACAAAACCAAGAGGTTGAGTAGTCTGCTATCACTAATCCAACAGAGAGAAGTTTTTTCCTATGTCAGTCACACCATAGTTGAAGTTTTGATGTTTTAGAGCTGTTTGGTGCATCTGTTCGTGGCCATGGAATGAATATGCATGCCTGTGGGTATTTTGATTGTCATTTCTTTCTTCCCTTGTTTCTTCTCCCTCCTCTTGGTAGGCATAACATAGGATTTTGGAAGATGTGGAGCTACAGCCATAGCGTTCTGGAGGTTGGCACTGTACAATGACAAATTCTGGAAACCAGGCTCTCCGAGACATGCCATGCAAGGATGAAGACTGGCCTTTGTGAAAAGTTGTGTGTATTCTAGAATTTGTAATTTTTCTGTATACTGAAAGAATAATCATATATTTGTATCATATATTTTCCCATCTGAAGCTGAAGTGCATTTTGCTTCTTAAGAGTTTTAGTATTAATGAGATCTTTTCGGTATCACCATAGAACACTCGCATGTAGATAGCATATAGTCGACAAAATGAGTACAAGAGATCCATATGCATGCTTACTGTGCCTTTTTCTTGAAGTATTCTTTATATTTCACCCAACATTAATTATCATTATGTTATGAAACGCATAAGGATATAAAAAATGGGTAAAACATGGTAGTCGGTAGTCCAGGACGAAATAAAATTTAATTTCTTGTTGAGTGAGGGGTTTGTTTTTAATGCTTGGTTGTATTAAGATATATGTAATAAAGCTTAATTGATAAACTGTGGAAAGCTGAAAGTGCTATCATATGAACCGGGGATTAATGATGCAGCTTTTATTGGATTAGGAGATAATGATGGCTTTCTGGTCATACAATTGAGTGTTGAGAATTTGAACCCAACGAAACGGAGTGTCGTTGAGCGTTCGTTCGCCATTCCACTTCCAGTATCCCACTCGACCGCCGTCCAATGGGAGACACTGGAACCTGTCCATCGTTTTCTGCACGCGCTACGCACACTGAGAACAGTTAGATGCATATGCTTTATTCTCTTTACCATTTTTCAATCCTTCTCTCTCTCTCTCTCTCTCTCTCTCAAGCTTTTCTTCGATCTTTCTCCATGGAGATGGAAGCGGAGGACGACGACCAATCTCAGCCAAACAGGTTTGATTACTGTACAAATTTGAAACTTTTTAACTCTTTTGTGGCTTTTTGGTGACTGGTTTTTTAACAATTTTTGGCACGAAGATCCGTATGTCAGCAGTGATTTTTTTTTTTTTTTTTTCCAAATTCAGCTAATCCTCATGGTTCAGTATACTTCGTTGTCTGGATTTGATCGCTTTGCCATTTCATTTCAGTAAGACATCAAAGTTGTATCAATTATTAATTGATTTAGTAAAACAGCAAAGCTATTTAGTGGTTTCAATTGTAGCAGTGTTATTCATGAAGTTTACTCATTTGAGCAATTCGGTTTAAATCTCTGCAATCTCTTGCTTCCAGTTATTTGAAAAAGGAAAGAAGTGGTTCATGACCACTCTAAAATTTAGCTAGTGATCTTTTGTGCTTACTATCTTCAATTTCTTAAATATAAAAATTTGAGAAATGATATTGATTTAAGTAGCTCTGGAAGGACCAAATCACTCTCATAGATAAACTTGAGGGGCGACGTTGTTTCAATTGAACTTAAAGGGACTAAAGTGATTTCCTAAGTAAATTAGAAACAGTAAACGTATTAATTAAGCTTAGAGATATTTACAGTTGTGTGTTCATATTCAAATTAGTTTAGTATTGTTTCAGCTTTTGGATTTGGAAATGGAGATGAATAGACTTCTCTGTGGCACATGATTTACATTGGACTTAAGTAATCTGGCGACAATAACTGCAGCAGATTTTGTTTGTATCTTATGATCTATTAACTTTTAGTGTTCAACCATTAATAAAGAAAATTTTAGTGGAAACAAATTTCCTTTTTCTCTTTTAGGTTTGTTGTCATAAAAAATTAGGTCCACGAAGGGTTTGTTCCAAGTCTGAATGTTCTTCCTAGCATGTTGTTAGAATTAATCAGCTATTCTGATATGTCCTATTTCTTTTCTATGGTAAATTCATTCCTAGGCATAATCATAGAAGCTTGTAATTATAGTTTAATACTTCACTTGGAGGATTGGAACCATAAAGACAGTTTTTGGAACAAACAGTAATCTTGTTGGTTGCTTTTACATTCTACTTGTAGACTTAATAGGCACTATTTTCCTTTTCAGATATATTAGTTACAATTGAATTAAACTGGGTTTTATATCCTATATATGTTCTGCAGAGAGTACTAATACTTTGGATACACCTGAACAGGCTACGACAGAAGGCATATGGAGAAAATCCTCGTTCTGCCAGGTGAAACTTCAAATATATTTGACCATTATATATGTAGCAGTGTTTTGAGTTCCATATCATGTTGTGCCGCATGTCTTTGTCTGGGTTGGTAATTCTTTTTTTTTTTTTTTGAACAAAGAGTACATAATCCAAGAAAGGATACAAAAGAAATTAGGTTACACCAATAGATCTAACCTTCTCATCATTCCCCACCTCTTGACAATACGGTGGTGGTTGATTAAAAGCACAAAAGCTTCCTACCACATCTAAAGCGTTTTGGGCTAAAAAGTGCGCACGATAATTTGCCTCTCTGTACATGAACTTCAGCGATATAAATCTAAACTGATACAGGCAATTCCTAGGTTGTTCAATCACATCCCTAAAAGGGTGATAGGTGACATCAGATTTGGTTAGAAGTTAACAGCTTTAGCACAATCAGTAAAAACATGGACCTTCTGAAGAATGAGTTGGCAACACATGGTAAAACCTTGAACAATACCAATAATTTTTGTAATAGCTGGTGGGTAATGACCAACATTACAAGAAAAACCAACCACCCATTTAGCACTCCCATTTTGACACCCCACGTTTGGAGATACCATCCTTAAAGGATCCATCAATATGTAGGTGCAGATCATTACCTTGCAGTCGAACCCAGTGACTGTGGGATCTCCTCGCCTGGATTGACAACGTATTTGACGCAGTGATAAGGTTCAAATCAGATTTGGCTTTGTGGAAGATAGCCTCTTTGGAGCACCCTCCTTCAGCCTCCTCTCCATCAAATAAGTATCTGCATCTAGTACACCAGATGTCCCAGCACATTTATCCAAATAACACGTTCCATGGTAGCTGCAAGGATCATGTTTCATGTCTTACAGCTTCATGTTATAGAAGTTGAAGGGTCCTACAAGGATCAACCCAAGCAAAAAAGTTATTTAGTATGACACATCTTCATGTTCATGTTTCATGTCTTACAGCTAGCTTTTACTTTTCTGTGGAGGTCCTTTATGTATATTTCTGTGAAATGTGAAATTCTTCTTTAAAAATTGGTTCCTTTCGCTTCTGATATTTGTCATGCATGGTCTTCAGGTGCCATCTGGATGGAGTTCACAAAACCAACATTACTGAAGGGAATAAGAAAAGAAAATTACAGACTGATCAACTGGATTTGCCTAGATCAAAGCACAAATGTTGGGTTGGGAGATTCTCCTCTGAACATGGTTCAATGTCCGATGACAATCTAGAGCTAGGGAGCACGCATATGCCCATGTTCATGAGTGAAACGTATGCGTCAGCTCTTGATATTTCAGAAACCAAATCTTCCAAAGGCAGCAATAATTTCAGTGAAGATTCAGACGCTGCCATGTCTGTAAATGATGAACCAAAACATCAGATGGATTGTCCTAAACCATACCTGTACGGAAGGCCTTCCTATTCTTTTATTAATTGGGATGGCTATTATTTCAAGAAAAGTTGTCGTGAAGAGGACACAGTTGTTGAAAGAGAATCATCCTACGATTATGATGATGATATACAAGCTTTGGTGAATCTTGAGGAGCACTCTCTGGGTTTAGGAATTTGTAGAGATCATGATTACTCAGACTATGTGAAAAAAGGCAACGAGCATTCCAGAGAAAAAGAATTTGAAGATGTTTTTGCTGCTCATGGGGCAAATCCTAGCATTTATATCCTATCATCTGGAAAATGGGATGTGAACCAAGGTATGTTTTCCTCTCCGATGTGTTTAGTACTCCTTCAGGTCCTAAATATAGGAACTAATTGAGAAACTTGCTTTAATTCTGAATGTAAGATTCCAACCTAGTTTGTCTCCCAGATTTATAGTTTTTTTTTTTGGAGAATCACATTCAAGAACCACTCAAAAAAATTATGCACAAACAAGAACCAATATGGAATGGATTTTTATTAAAAGGAAAACATGACTTATTTTTTCTCGAATGGGACTTGTTATTAGTCTTTATTTGAGAATAATTCATTTGAGTGGTTCTTGAATGTGATTTTCCCCCTTTTTTTCCAAAACTATCCCTATTGATTGCAAAAGTTAAAGGGGTTTTTCCATCAAGGGATAGTTTCCAATATAAATGATTAAAGGGTATTTTAGGAAAACCATCACATATTTTTTATAAAAAACTAACTAAACTAATTTCTTCAATGTTTATAGATTAGTCATCTCTCTCCTACATTTAGGACCAGAAAAGAGTATAAAAGCCTATTTTGTTACCTAACATATTGGTATTTCATTTTTTTCCATCCTCCATAGATCATTTCTTTCAATTTAGTAGATCAATCATTAAAACAGCTTTAATGTTATCCTGACACCTTCCCTTTATCCTGGAACAAAGTGAAACCCATGAGATTAGAGATTTTTGTCATGAGTGAGCAGCATCTGTATAAGGTCCAAGTTAACAGCGCTGGGCAAGCCATAATGTGCGAGAGAACATTGAAAGTGTTTTAATGATTGAGGGACATAATTAAAACAGGGATGATCAGTGAAGGGCATTATCATGCGCCTATATGTCTGGAACCAAAAAGGGGTTTCCTCTAAATTTTTTTGTTAGTACTAATTCCTGGGTTGATATTTGGTTTCAGAGGCTGAATCAAGCACAAGGCCGCCAACAATTGATCAAGAATTTGAGCAGTACTTTTCCATGCTTATGCTTTAGCAGACTAGCATAGATCACTTATCATAAAGGATGTTGATGTATAAAGCCACTGGACGCTTGGTTCAACTAATAAGGGAGTCATATCCTCTTAATTAGAAGTCTCAAGTTTGAGTTTTGGAAATGCAGTAATATTGGTGACAGTGTTTCCATATGAAAAGATCCTAACTCTTTAAAATCTTCTCAACTTGACGTAGAACAGATTCAAGATACAAGTGTACTATGCAAAAAGGAAGTACTTGTATATATATTGCTAACTTTTTTTTCTACATGAATATCAAAATCTTATTTATTCCAAAAAAATCAAGTACAAACACCTATAGGTGAAGGCAGACAAGTACTCAAAAGACCTACATGTCACAACAAATACGAACGTCCCATAATCATCCAACCTCTCATTCCCTATTAGCAGCTTAGACAACCAAGATCATCACTATTTCTGAATTCTCAAACTATTTTGTGTGTATGTAACTATGCATGTATTGATTCCAAGTTGTAAATATTATTTTGATGCTATATATATTTATCTTACTTTTTCTTTCCCTTTTTGCTTCATATGATATGATCTTCATACGGCAGTGTGCGGGATTTCTCTCTGTGGCTTTTCCTCTTCTGTATAATAACAGAATCAACTTGAAGTAAAAGAAAAAATACTTTCCTCATTCATTACAAAATTCTTGGATAATTGAAGCAAAATTTAGATTTTGGGTACTTCTCATATATTATTTTGTTCACTGTGGTTTTGTACTGCCACGCTGCACGCTAATCAAGTACTAATCATTAACATTAGTAAATATTAACCGTTTTCAAGTTCCTTTAAACCCTGCATCTTATTGATCAAACATGACCAGGAATAGTGTTTTTATTTAATTTCTGCAAAATGCAAATGCTTTGTTATGAGTTTCCCCACTCTAAATGAACTCAGCTCAAGTTTTTATTTTTATTTTTATTACTATTTGTTATCATCATCTCTTGTGCCTTTAATATAGGATAACGGTAATTATTTTGTGGTTTTAAAAAATGTGTTAGTTAAAACCTTAATATTCTCTTCTGATAAACAAATGAAAAAGAAAAAACTTCATCTTCTCAATAATTTTATTTCTTTTTAATTATACCTTTGAGAGTGAGATAAATGAACTCAGCTCAAGTTTTTATTTTTATTTTTATTATTATTTGTTATCATCATCTCTTGTGCCTTTAATATAGGATAACGGTAATTATTTTGTGGTTTTAAAAAATGTGTTAGTTAAAACCTTAATATTCTCTTCTGATGAACAAATGAAAAAGAAAAAACTTCATCTTCTCAATAATTTTATTTCTTTTTAATTATACCTTTCAGAGTGAGATAAATGCCTAAATTACATTAGTTGACTCCTTCAAAATATCATCCTATATTTCAAATCAAATATAGGTCAGAGTCTAAGATCAAACTATTGAGCCAGACTTTGGAATAATATAATATAAATTAGTAGTGAAAAGGACTTGGATCAACTACAAGTAGACAAAGTGTATATTCCCTCCGTTTAAAAATGTAAGATATTTTTAATTAAATTTTACTGCCTAATAAAATAGTTACATACTTTCAAACCAATTCTATATTTTTATATTTATTCTTATTAAACATATTACAATAAATATAAACTCATTATCAACAGGGACACTTTTGAAAAAAAGGCAATAATTACACATTGAAAAACTAAAAATATCTTATATTTTTTAATATTCAATTTCTTAAAAAAATAAATTCTTATATTATTGAATGGAGGGAGTATATTTTTTTGGGAGAATTTCATTTAAGGGCCTGGGAAGGAACTTATTTTCTGGTGGCTCCTAAAAGATTCCAAAATCTCAGTTTAGTCCTTGGATTAAATTAAAAATAAGTTAAATGCGAAAAAGATGAAAACACCTTCAATTCAAATATTAAAAAAAACCACCAGCTATCATCACCGGAGCACCACAGTCGATGACTGGAGCGTCACCAGTAACGACAGCCATTGGACCTCCATCGTCGGAGCTTCAACTACCAGTGGTTGAAAAATTATGGAGAATTAATTTCTTTAAAGGTGGCTAAGGTGGGTATAAAATCTAAGACCCCTTAGTTTACTAAAAGTTTTGGACCACCAAGCCACTCAACCTATTCAATCATATAATACATAAAATTATATATATAATAAACCTTATTTTCAAACCACTTGATTATTACATTACTTATTAATTGCCTAATTTTTCTTATTAATACCTTCATAAGACTTGTTAATTACTTAACTTTTCTTGTTAACCCCATGAATCCTGCAACATAATTAAATTACTTGTTAATCTCATAATTATACTTGTTAATATTTTAACAAAACTTATCAATTACTTAACTCTCCTTCTTAAGTTCATGACTGCCACAACAGAGCTATATTATTTGTTAATTGCATAATTATAGTTGTTAATACCTTAACGGAACTTGTTAATTATTTGAATTTACTTGTCAAATCCATGACTCCTTTAAATGAATTGCATTACTTGTTATCATGTAACTTTATTTGGTAATTACGCAACAATACTTGTTAATTGAAAAGTTTGACTTGTTGATATTATAACAAGACTTTTTTAACTGTTGTTTCAAAAAAGCAACTAAATTACTTGTTAATTACATAACTTTATTTATTAATTCTCAATAATACTTGTTAATTATCTATTGTTACTTGTTAAATGAATATACAATTTACATAAAAAATTAAGTTTGTTAGATAATGAAAGCGACAACAGTCGGGTCTCCATTATTAGTATTTATCAAACTAGATACTCAATTATATAAGCGCACACACACACATATATATATATATAGAGAGAGAGAGAGAAATATCCTAAAAAACAAATATAATATTAACAATTAAAATTGAGTATCTAAGCATGTTGAAACATTTGCAGGCGCGATTCAAACTCGAGATCTAAGCATCTCAAGGATGTTGCTATGCTAGTTGAACCCAAGGTTCCAAGAGAAATGTGTATGTATTAGGTAATCATATATTAAATCATGAACGATCCCCACTTCTTTTAATTCTAGTTAGAAAAAAAAGTTATACAATGAACTCAAAGTAAGTAGAAAGTCTTAGGGGAAGTCGCATTAAGAGCCCTAAAAAATACATTATTACACTTCGGGCTTAAAAAATTTGATATTGTACTACTAGCCTTACAGCCTTTATTGCAATTTTTCTTCACACTAAAAATACAATTTTTCCTTAATGAAAAGAAATAAAAATGAATGAACATAGAGTAGTAGGATTGATGACAAATATGGGAAGGCTACTTAGCTAGAGGATGAGAAGGTTTCTTAGATCTAATAGCAAGGAATAACTTTTGAGGTATGTAGATTTCAAAATCCCTTCATTCTAAGTAGTGCCTGGTTGAAATTTGTCTGTTGAGCTTTGATTAAGGATGCTGTCTACCATTTTTTATGTTGAAACAGGAAAGAACTAACAATTGAACCATAAGTAGAGAGTAATGTAACGTTTTGTTAGCTTTCGGTATTTGTTGTTGTTGATTGCGTCTTGCTTAGCCATGTTTTCTTCAATAGACCACAAACAGAGAGTGATGGAATAGGCTTGTTGGATTTTTACCCCCACATAAATTAATGAGAGGATTATCTAAAATAGTTGAATTTCAGCCAAATATTTAGTTGGATGGAAAAACCTTTAGTTGGAATTTTAGTTGTGATTTTACTGCTAATATAAGTTATAGGTTGCTAAACTATTAAGTTGCTATAAAAGTTTTAGAGTGGATTAGTTGTTTGTACAATAATGATGGTTGACTTGTTCATGTTGAACTTTAATATGTAAATTGAATAAAATATGACCCAATATGAAGAAAACCTGATGTCAGAAATATTAGAATATTTGTTGTGCAAAAATTAACTTTGAATTGTTGTTGTTAAATGTTGAGTTGTGCATTTTATTAAGTCTAGCCTAGTGATAAACTAAAATCGCATGGACTTTCAATGAAAAATACATTAATCTTGTGTTGTGCATAGTTGATACTGTGTTGTACATTGTGTGCCTAACTTAAGCATTTTGCTGAGCCTAACCTATTGATGAACTGAAATTGCACGGACTTTCAATTGAGAATATATGAATCTTGTGTTGTGCATGGTGAATATTGTGTTGTGCATTGTTTGGTTAAATTGAGCATTTTATTAAACCTAGCTTATGATAAATTGGAATCGTATAGACTTTCAGTTAAGAATATATGAACCTTATATTGTGCATATTAGATTTTGTGTTGTACATTGTTTGCCTAACTTGAGCATTTTGGTAAGCCTAACCTATTGATAAACTAGAATTGTATGAACTTTTAGCTGAAAATATATGAACCTTGTGTTGTGTATAGTGGATATTGTGTTGTACATTTGTGCATTTTGTTTAGCCTAGCCTACTGATATAACAACATTGACAGATAACTTATCATGAACTTTTTTGTAACCGCCATTAACTAGCCATCCTCCTAAAATGCCACGAACCAGGAGGATAAAGTCTTAATTTCAAAATAAGAAGATTTATCATTGTTCAAGATGTGAGAAGGTCAAACACGGTCGCATGACATGCAAAAATTCTAACCCAGTATAAGAAGTAGTCACATTGTACTTTTTTAATGTACTTAGGCAACTATAATTACATATATAGAAGCATTCCTAAGTAATATTTTTTGAATAATTGAGAATTACAGATATTTTTTGTTTGTATATAGAGAAGAAACTGTTAGGTATTTTGAATATAGTTGCTAACTTGTTGTGTATATTAGATTTGAAATAATGTGGGTACTTATTTTAGTAGCTAGGCCAGTACTAATATGAAATTATTCATATCTAATGTAACTGTTCTTCTTAATACTAGAAAGGCATGAACTTTGAGTTGAGTATACATAAGCATTGTCTTGTACATAGTAAATATTGTGTTGTGTATGGTTTGCCTAAGTTCTCCATTTTGTTGAGCCTAAACTACTGAAATACTGAAAAGGCATGGATTTTTAATTAAGCATACGTGAGTATTGTCTTGTGCATAATGGATATTGTGTTGTGCTTGATTTCACGAAGGTTTTCTAAATTCAAATCAAACAAAGGATAACAATGTACTTTTAGTTTAAAAAAATTGTAATAAAGACTCCAAGGCCTGTAGT